CGGGGCGCAACCAATTTGGGTTGTGACCAGAGTTGCAGAACGAATTAAGTTCGTGACCCGAGGTACCACTGTACATTGTTTACAGGTAAATCCAGACCCAAATGATGGAGTTCAGGTTTCACCACTTCCAGCTACTTAAGTGAAATATTCCATAGATATGGGGAACATATTCCATTGATACGTTGTGGAATGACTGTAGTTCAAATGACTGTATGCAAAATGTGATAGAGTCAGTCTTCATCATCTTGAAATAGAGTTATAATCTAAATACTTTCCTAAACTGTGGAAGAAAACTTACGGTAAAAATAGTAGTATTAATTAACACAAAAAGTTTTTTAATTTGAAATAGTTCAAACTCAAAATAGCAGTTCTGAGTTTAAAACAGGCTGTTCCTACCACAGAATGTTCTGATACTGTTCCAACCTTGCTGGAAACGGTGCCAGCTTCAAACAACGTTTCTTTGAGCTCAGAACATTTCTAGCAAGGTCGGAACAGGATCAGAACTCTTCTTGGGTTCTCGCAAGAGCCCAATTTATAATCAGAAAGCTGTTTTGGGCTTGAAAGGAGGAATTTCAAGCTTAAAATGTTTTGAACGTGAAAAGCTTTGAATGCTTGTTGGAGAGAGGGTGAAATATCTGCATAAGCACCCAGATGGCTTATTCTGGAGGTAAACAGAAGCCAATCCCTCACATCAGTAAAGAATTCAAATTCAAAACCCCAAAACACACTAAACATGCTCAGAGAGATTCTGTGGTCAGGCAAGTATCACACTTGATAAAAGCCCCTTTATTCCTCTATTGCCCTGGGAGCGACAAAGAAGTCCTAGTATACCAAAGCCCTGCTCTTTCTAACGTCAAACTTAAGCGACTGAAATCAACTATGCTGGAAAAGATCTTGGTGTACGTTAATGAATAACCTCCTGAAATGTAGATCAATCAGTCAAGACCTCTCTGCTCCAATGCTCCCCGTTCTTTCACTCCTATCTATTTTACCATGAGCTGGCAAGCAGGGACTTTATCTTTCAACGCCTTTACAGAATTTAGAAAACGGACTAGTCCAGGCAGTTGCCAGGAGTCAACACTGACTAGAAGGTCTGAAATACCCACCATGAATGGTTGACGAAGATGACAAAACTTGCAGAGATGGCAAAATTGACTTGTTTGATTAGGGAAAAGCCAATCACTACATTTGTTAACGACTAGAAACTTGAATGGACTTTTTGCTGAAAACAGAAAAAAATGAACTTGTGATTTATGGGTTGGATGATTAGAAAGGGTAGGGTATGGAAAGAAGGGAGCCATGATGTAACCTTAGAGAGAAAGGATAAAATATAAACGCCTTTATAACTGCTGTAAAGAAGATTGGAAGTTCTTTCTTTTCTTTCTTTATTATTTATTCCTTTTACCTTACTTTGCTTTTGCTTTTTTTCTTTAGATTTGCATTTTTTATTATGTAATTTTTTAAAAATAAAATTAAAAAAACACTGACTGGAAGGCACAAAATACACCCCCCCCACACACACACACATGCTTTTAGGAATGCTAAGTCACCACAACTGCCTTCAAACGCCTGGGAGGCGGTCCACGCAGGGCAGGATCCTTCCTTTCCAGCCTCCGCGTTACCTTCGGGGCCTCTGCACTGGAGGCCTTGGCGCTCCCGGAACTCGGGGAGGCTCCCCAGTCGGGTCCCGGAGCGCCTCGCCAGCCGGCCCCCCGCGC